TTACCCACAAAATGTTAGAAACGACACAAATGGAAATTCAAGGTGGTGGGTTACAGAACCGATTAGGTCAAAAAAAAGGCTTACATAACCGGCGCTACAAGCCAAGGTCAATTAGTATCTCCGGTTGCCTTCCAAAAACAAAAGATAATTAAAATTATAAGGTGTCTGGTTAATTTATCAAATTTTATTCCTATAATTTTAATAATTTTATTATAACTTAAATAAGGCATGATAATGTTCCCTTTAATTAGTAAGATTATTATTGTAATTTTAGAGTATTTTTAAACAAATAAAATAATCTAGCAATTTTTTTAGCACGTAAAAAAATCTGAAACACCATATATAAAACAAGCGAAGAGATATAGTTTTAGAGACTCATAGGTGAGATGTAAAGTAACAAAAAGTTTACTCTTTTCAATATTTGTTATATTTTTATTATTTAAACAAAGTAAAAGGATTGCCTTTTCCCCTGTTATTCACGTCTCTGAATCATCTTTCTGTATACGTACTTCAACAATTTAGTTCAGACCAAACCACAAACTTTGACCATTGATTGATTTTTTTTTTTTTTTTGACCAAAACCATTGATTGATAAGGTGCAGAAAAATCGTAGATGTTGATTGCCAGAGAAAATAAACAGAGAGCACAGACCGCCACGGAAGAAATTAAAAGAAAATATGTCATGTTATGGATCGGTAAATTAAGCGGTTTCATTTTCTGAACCCACCATCATAACTCAAGAGTCTCAAACTCTTGAGTTGGTCCTACCAATATAATATTTTTATATTTTTAATTCATAAAATTATATCAACTTACTTATAAATTTAAACTGAATATAAATTTAATTAAATTCGTGAGTTTATTTTTAAATTTATTATTTTTATATTTTTAATTTATAAAATTATGTCAACTAATTTATAAACTTAAACTAAATATAAAATTATTTAAATTTATTAAACTCGTTAAATTTTTTTTGAGTTAAATGAGTTAAGTATATATGATAAAGAATTTAATTCATAAAAATTATAAGATCCAATTAAAAAAAAACTTGAAATGCAAAAACTATTATTAATAAAAAAATATCAAAAATAAATTTTTCTATTTTAAAATCTTTATATATTATATATGATAATTTATCAATATAGATAGATTTAATTTCAATTATTTATATTTTTAATATATTTAAATTAAATTATAATTATAATATAGATAGGTTTAATTTTAATTATTTATATCTTTAATATATTTAAATTAAATTATAATTATATTTTAGTGATTATTTATTAATAGAGATAAATTTTTATAAGTTTATAATTTGAATTTGAGATATAAATTTACATTTTTTTGAGTTTAACAACGTCCGCCCCCATCCTATCCCACACTCGTGCATGGTGTTTGTCCGTCTGTGTCTCTGACTGACTGTGTACCGACTCTGTCTCGATGAAACCAGTCAACAACCCATCCTTCCCAATTCTTTCTCTTACACATTTTCGGACGCTTTAAGAAGAGAAGAATTATAGAAAATGTTAACTTAACTTTCAGCTCACCGAAAAATTACAGAAAAGAATTTTAAAAAAAAAACTCTTGATCTTTTTCTGTTAATTTTCTCAGTTTTAATTTATAATTTTTAAGTTTTTTATAATTTTGACTTTATTTTTGAAATATATCATCAGTTTCTTTTTATTTCTCTGTTTCTAATTGTATTTTAATTTTTGTTGATCTATTTTCTCATCTGATTCTAATTTTACTTGATCTAACCTAATTCCTTAATTATTACTATTTATTTTTATTCTTTTGCATTTTCTTTTTATTTGTTTGTATCTGCCACTTTCTTTTTAATTTTACTTCAAATTATTTATTTTTTCTTGAAATTGTTTATGCGGCTTTCCTTTTAACATAGTTTATTTTACTTCAGAATCTTTTATATTTGTACATATTAAACATATAAATGATATATTTTATTTCATAGCCTTTCGCCCTATATGATTTTAAATGTAGTCTAAAAGTTATTATCCTATACATGTAATTATAAATCGTTCAAAAAATTATATACTAATTTTTAAATTTCATAAATAAAAAATTGTCAACATAAATTATAAAATTTAGAAATAAAAAAATTAAATTTAAACCAATATAAGTTTGAAAAATTAATGTAAAACTCATTATGTATTATTTAATATATTATAAAGATGTGATTTTTTTTACCAATAATAATTCAAATACTATATGGTATTTGATGATGATTGTACAGGGGGGCACAAGTCATATTGTTATAGTCATTTATTTTAACCTAACGATCATTTAACAATAAATATAATTTTTACTCACCACCCTCTTGGCCTCTTTCACGCCCCCTCTTTTTTCACTTATTACTGCCTTCGCCTCTTTCTCTCTCTTTCTCATTCTCAGGGCCACAGTACTAATATTTTAAATAAAGGTCTCTTTACGCCGATTCTCTAAACCTAGAGTCATAGAAAGTGAACTGAGGAAGAAGTTGATGTAGTTGGATATTGAAATCTTTTCCTGCGGAAGTTCAAGATGACTTGCGGGTAGAAACTGATAGACCAACAAGTGAAAACAAGCCAACCCACGATCTCGTAAGAAATGTGGAGAGGAAGTGAATTCCATGAAGCCATTTTTGGTAAAGGCTTGCTTGGTTGAGATAATATGCTTCGTTCTATAATAAGAAGAAGCTTAATTACAAATAATCAGTTTGTCACATTGCTTTTTATAGGAGAGCCAAGGCATAGGATAGCTTATCATTATAATTACATCTTTATCTTAAAATCAGTAAGTCAATAAAACAATATTTTATATATTGCTTATAACCTCGAACCTCAGTTACAACATAAGTTAATTTATTATATAGAAAGTGATAAATCATGTAATGATCATAAAATTTTTGGAAAAAAATTTATCATGCTTCCTATCATTATTGCAGATATGAAGCATGCTTCCCACCAATATATTATTTCCTTTCTCAAAAAAATTATTTGAACTATCATCACATGAAACTTCGAGAGTATAGAAGCACACAACAAGGTAGGTCAGGACAAAACCAAAAGGAAAAATTATGTTTAGGAACAAAAATATTAGGGTCATTGAGTGATAGAAAATTGTGAATGAGAACTGAAATGAATAAGATTATCAATTCACACATGCCTTCCTCTCTATCATTTTATGACCCTTCTCTCTCTATCATTCATACTTTTCCACCAATTCATAACTTTTTTTTTTTAATTCCTCATCAACCCATTTCAATCCATTACATTTCTTTTCGACAATTAAAGGAGTCTTCAATTATGATTTTGCTACTCTCGATCATTAATAGAGCTTGTGGTATTTAATTTTAATTATATTATAAAGTGTGTAGATCTCTCATATGAAATCCAAGAACAAGTTGTGCTAATGTGAACATACTTTATGGAATCATATGAAAATATTCAAATTGGACATGTTTGGTCAACAAAAGAAAACCCCAAACCGTGCGGTTTCAAGAACCATCGTCTAAAATGGTGAAATGACCGTCCCTTCAGTTTATAAAAAGAATCCCATTGTAAAAGTCTGTGTCACCAATGGGATTGGATATATTAACAGAAAAAACCAGTCCCTAAGAGGTTTCAAAGCACTATTAGTATAATTGTCTATATTTAGTATTTGACAGTGCATCAAATAAAATTATATCTAATAAAATGATACTTGTGGGAAACTATAAAAAAAATTCTTTGTGAGCAAACTAAAATTTTAAAGGGTTTTTATAGACATAGGCAATGTTATATGACCAAATCAAACAACTAACACAATATTTATTATATTTTACATTATATTTGGTGTATTATATTTGTCAATAATATACCATTTTATATTAATGATAAACCCTTTACAAATTTTTAATAATAAATTATTTTTATATTAATGTAAACTGACCATATTCTCAAATTTTAAAAATTTAGTATATATTTTGTGAGCATAATATTTTTTTTTTGGCCAATGAGTCAATTTAAATTGTAAATAAAACATTTAAATTTTTATTATAATTTTTAATTTACAATTAAGATTCCTAGTTGTAATTGTTTAATCAATATTTACAGTTCATTTTTTAAAATTTTTTATTAAAATTTAACTATTATTAATTCATTATATTTTAACTTATTCTCCCTTGAATTTAACTTTTGCTTGTTCATCGGCTTTTTTTTTTTTTTTTTGAAATACAATTGGCGTATAATTTTTGAAATACAAACGTCACCTCGAAGGGGCCACCTTCACGTGCCCAAAATCCAGGCATCTGAATCTTTTGTTGTACTGATATAACGGCGAACCAGCAAGCCATCGATCTGTAGCTATCTCGCGACGCAAATCCTATTCTGTCATATAATTTTATTTTCGTATTTTTAATATTCTATCCTAATGTAATATAATTTTAGTAGTTTAAAAGTTTAATAGACAAAATGTAAAATAAAAATAATATCTTAACGGTGACTTTGTCAAAAAAAAAACATTTAAATATAATAGTTTAATATTTAAAAAATGGAAGGAATTGTCAGACAACACGGGGTAAAAATGAAAAACAGAAGAATTTCCGTCGTCAGAATTGTTCTTCTAAGCAAACTAACATGTCAAAAGCAAGTGGGGTCTTCCACTTCCTTTTCCACCATTTTTCTTTTATTTTTTTTATTTTCATCATTCATTAATTTTTTTATTTAAAATAATTGGTGGGATTGGGGGATAGAAAAAATGAAGGGAAAGGGAGGAAAAATAAGGGGGAGACGCTGGTCCCATGTCAAAACCTGCTTTTTAAACCGCGGACATGCACTATAAATACACAGCTCAAGACAATCATTTCTATAAAGCCATTTCAAAGGTGACATCAAACAAATCATAGTACTCTCCATCGCCAGAGAATCACAAAGCAGCCATTCAGCTTACTCATACGTATCACTTTACTATTTGGTCTTGCATTACTAGAAACTATCCTAGCCATGGCTGAGCTTCCCTTGAGCTTAAGAATGGTGCCAGCACTTGTGACTCTGTACTTGTTCCTCTGTTTCACAAACTTAAGCAGTTGTGAGGCTAGAATCAGACGTTACAGATGGGAGGTGAAGTATGAGTGCAAGTCTCCTGATTGCTTTAAGAAGCTTGTTATCACCATAAATGGCGCAACTCCCGGGCCCACCATCCAAGCACAGGAAGGTGATACCATCGTTGTTGAACTTAAGAACAGCTTGTTGACAGAAAACTTTGCCATTCACTGGCATGGTATCAGGCAGGTCAGACTTCGATTTTTTTCCTATCCATACACACAAGATTGATCTGAATCATACTTTTTCTGCATATTAACTTGGTTTACGTGGTTTTGTACATGGCAGATTGGAACTCCTTGGTTTGATGGTACGGAAGGGGTGACTCAGGGTCCAATTCTGCCGGGAGACACATTTGAGTACCAGCTTGTAGTTGACAGAGTAAGTTGTTAATTTCAATCTGAGCCTTCATGTTTATTTTTCTTCACTGAAAGCTGGTTTAATTTGTAGCCTGGAACGTATCTGTACCACGCACACTATGGAATGCAAAGAGAAGCTGGACTGTATGGAATAATCAAAGTGTCACCTCGTGATCCTGAGCCCTTTACTTATGACTACGAAAGAAGCATTATTCTTAATGATTGGTTCCACAAAAGTACATATGAACAGGCCACTGGATTGTCGCCAAATCCTTTTGTCTGGGTGGGAGAGCCTCAGGTAAATCACTCTGCTCTTCACTGCTCCAAACTGATTCAACTCAAATTCTTCTGACTCTGATTTCACACTTCTGTGCAAATCTCGTCAGTTGATTTGATGTTTCAATTGTTTTCTGCAGTCTCTTCTGATTCAAGGAAAAGGAAGATGCAGTTGCTCTAAACTCACAGCTCCAAGCTTAGACGCCGGAGTTTGCAACGCATCAAACCCTGAATGTCCTCCTTATGTCCAGGCTGTAATCCCTGGAAAAACATATCGACTCAGAGTTGCTAGCTTGACCGCTTTATCAGCACTCAGTTTTCAAATTGAGGTCATTGTTTTTCTCAGCGTCTTATTATTGCCCCTGCAAATCGGCCTTTTGACTGTTTAATTACAGAGTATTTTAACACGCAGGGCCACAACATGACCGTGGTTGAAGCAGATGGCATCTACGTTGAGCCTTTCGTGGTTCAAAACCTGTTCCTGTATTCTGGGGAGACATACTCTGTTCTTGTGAAAGCAGATCAAGACCCTTCAAGGAATTACTGGATCACTTCGAATGTTGTTAGCAGAAACCGAGCCATACCACCTGCTCAAGGCGTTTTCAACTACTATCCCAACCATCCATGGCGGTCCCCTTCGTCAACTCCGCCGCCTCCCCCTGCTTGGGATGATGTTGAACCCCGCTTGGCTCAAAGCCTCGCCATTAAAGCCTGGTCAGGTCACGTCAAAAAACCGTCCTCAACCTCAGATTGTTATCGATGCTGTTCGGTGAACAATGCGTCATTCACTCTTCCCCATACCCCTTGCCCATTTGCCTTCAAACACAACACCACCAACGCATTCGATCAGACCCCACCTCCTGATGGCTCCGATCCTCTTGGCTACGACATCTTTAAAGTGGCTAGCAACACGAACGCCACTTCTAGCAATGGGATTTACAGGCTAAAGTTCAACACGACGGTTGATATTGTACTTCAGAATGCCGACACCATGAACAGAGTGAAGGTTGTCGTTAGAATTGAGACCCAGTACCGTTCAATTTCTCTTTATTTTATAATTTCACTTACTTTTGGTTTTTAGTACTTCCATTGTGCTATTTATGGAATGCAGAGAGTATTTACTTTAACCTTGGAGCATATTAATAATTATTATATCTGTCTTTATCTTTTGTCTTTGTTAAATATTGAAAAGATCATTAAATGTTGAAGAATTTAATTTGTAAAATATGTTTATTTAATAAAAATAAAGATAAAAATTTACTAAATTTTTAAATAAAATTAATAAAATTTAATATTTTCTTTATATTGAGAATAATTTATAAATATGACCTAGAATAATATTTTTCCCTCACTCCTTGTTTAAAGTGTAACATCTTAAAAATTTAATTTAAAATTAATTAAGTCAAAGATAAATGAGTAATTTTAAAAAAATATTTAAATATAAATATTTTTAATTAAAATATTATTATTAAATGTAATTTAGATAAAATCTTAAGTTATATTTTTTTAAAAAAATAAAAATAATAATAATATTATTAAAAAAAAAGAAGAGGAAAGAAGTAAAAGGAAAAGGAATAAATAAATAAAAAATAAAGAGAGAGAGAGAGGGGAGGAACGGGTTAACATTCGTGTGCGTGTGTTTGATATATATATATATATATATATGTATATATATATAGATAAAGGAAAATAGCTTATGGGACCCACAACCAATTAAAACCCTTTCCTTCTCATTTTCCTGTCTTTTCATTTCGTTTCCTGTGAATAGAGAGAGCGAGAAAGTCGCCGGTGCTTGGAGTTGATTAAGAGGTAGGGTTATATAATATGATATTTTAAATAAGATTTTAAGTATTATAAAATTATATAAATATTTTAAATATTTTTTTAATCCTTTTTACATTTTAGTTTCTGATTTTAAAATTATATGCAAAATTTAGGATTTAAAAGAGAGGTGAATTTTTAATGAATAATTATAGTTGTTAAAGTTGTTGATAGCATAATAAATATTATAGAGTATTATTTTGTTAACGGAATTGAAATTTGAGGCATTTGAGTTAATTTAGAAACTCTTATAGTTAGATTTTTGATAAATCTAAAATTATAAGTTAATTTATTAACTATAGAAGGTTAGTTGGGAGTAGAAATATATTATTAAAGTTATAAAATGATAATTCTAGACTTAAAACTAAGTTTGTAATTTTTGAGTATTTTTAGGTGTGATCTTTTGGAAATAAAAGGAAAAAATTTGATATTGTAAAATTATTTGAAGGATGATTTTAGCCAAACTTTAATAAGACTATTGTGAAGGAAACTATCGAATCAAATGGATAAATTCAAATATATGAGATTGAATTTTAAAATTCAAGAGCCTAAAACTAAGGTCTACAAAATTGAAATAAAATAAAATAAATACCTAAGTGTTAGAATATGAGTGAAAATTATGTTAATAATATTATTGACACATTAGGATACGATTAATTATAGGGTAATTTTTTTTTTGACACCATTTAAGCTTTGGAAAGCTTTAGAAATGTTGTAATTTGAAGGATAACCTTTGACCTCTCAAAAGTTGAAGTAATTAAGAAAAATTTATTTTATACATTTATGTGTTAATTAATTATTTGTGTTTGTGAAACAAATGAATATATATATATATATATATCCAAATTTTAAAATTGTTGTTTGTAATGCATATGTGGCTTTACTGAGATCATATGATTTTTGATAAAGTTAATTGTGGCACATTGAAGAATTTGAATATGATGGCTGTAGGTGGAGAAAACGAAATGAATAGGAAAGCTTGTTTGTAATATGGATTTTTAATATTAATTTATGCTTTCATGGGATAATGTGACATGATTTGAGTAATGAGATTGAGGGTTGATAATGATGTACATACTCTTGATTATAAATTATGGATTATATATGGTAATGAATTGTATATGAGCATGTTGAATTTTTATATAATGCTAATGTGATTTATGTGGTAACATGAAAATTGATGTATGAGGCATGATTGACATATGATGATTCTTGATACTTGTTAAGCATGAAAATTGACAAACATGTGGATAATTGTGAATTACTTATATGAGTTATTGAAATGCATTTTCTCATGAGCATGATCATATGGCAAGAGTCGTCTTAGTGAAGGAGCTAGTGATTGTGCAAAATCCATATGGTACCTAATTATTAACCGATAATCCTAAAGATTATAGGCACTACTTACCTTGTAGGGTACTGTAACATTGTTTCTATTAAGGGTATTAACCCTACTAGCCTATTTGGAGTTTTAGGTAGAGCTAGTCTTGGGTATGACTCCTTATAGTGTGTGATTTGGGGGAAATCATATTCATAAGTGAGTAAGGTAACTCTAATTCGGTAGCCCCTCATGATATAATTAAGGCCTTAGGTAGTCTCACCACATGGATGATCCCTTCTAATTGTTAGTCCACATATTTCATGTCAGAGGAAATAAGAGAGGATATAAGGAAGAGATTGATCATGCATATTATTATTATTATTATTATTATTATTATTATTATTATTATTATTATTATTATGCCATTTGAGTGATTGATTACTATAGTTGAGACTATGATTGTAATTATGAAAATGAGAACATGTGGTAAACATGTGAACAATGTATATATGGCCAATTGTGCCAATTTAGTTTTAAATTTTCTGGTCAAATTCTCAACGCACCCCATTTCTCCATTCGATGTCTGATTGAGGTAATTTAGGTGTCTACAGAAAACTTTCTCTAAGCTTTAGCTAATGATACTAGTTTCACATTTAAATCATTTTTCAATCAAAAGTTAGACACTAAAATGTAAACTCACTCATTTAGCTTTCAAAGCATAGGTAGGGTGTCCAAAACTCAATCCAAGTACCAAAAGTTCACACCAACCCCTAGATCACACTCAATAGACTATAATGAACTAAAGCAATACATTACAACAATCAAATAACACACTTCACATTTTTGCTGCTCAACCTCTTGATCACAAAAACATAAGGGAGAGCCAAATTTTGTAATTTTATATCTAAATCACCATTATTTACAAATATACTCACTGCTTACTTACACAAGTATTTTGGCCTTAATCAAATATCTCACCTAAAAAGATACCACACGCACAAGGGCTCAAAATATACATTTCAATACTTAATATTCAATGGTGCAAGTATAATAAAATATGAACATTCTAGTTAATAATATCATAACAATTACACATTAATCAAAAGTAATTGAGGCATTATAGTAGAAAATTTGATTCTTAAACCTCATATGCCTTTCTTTTGTTCAGACTAAAGCTAGCACTTGTAAAATATTAAATAAGGGGTGAATATAATCATTGAGTAACTAAGGCTAATCTAGCCTATACAAATACATGTTAATTAATCATAGTGATGCAAGTGGTATAATCAAATAAAGTGTACTCACACATTAAACCAAGTAATTCATTCAGTCACAAAACTAGCAATCATGTGGCATTAGATTATTTATCATGCAAGGGTCACAACATTAACAACCATATTGTAAAGTCTCATTTACTTAACCATGTTTAACTCCAAAATCAAGGTAATTAAGGGATCAACCCTTAAATGATTACTAAAGTTATAAAATTTCATAACAAAGAAAATTTTTTGAAATCATTTACAATGGAATCCCAAATTCAACATTTTAAATCTCAATTGATCCTTCTAATGTTCAAAACAGAGTTTAAAATAATGCAGAAGCTTAAAAATCAAATAGGACTTAAGATAATGAGTTTTAAAACTCAAAATAGGATTTTGTGCAGAAAACGACACATGCGCCATGGCATATGACATATGCACCGTGGCTCATCCTTCTTTGTGCTATGTGCCATGGCGCATTGCATGAATTTGATAGCACAAGGAGCGAACTTTTAAGGTGTCTTAAATCTCCATCCGATATCCAATTGAGGTGATTTTAGAGTCTACATAGAGCTTTCTCCTAGCTCTAGCTAATGGCACTAGTTTCATATTCAAATTCTCTTTCCATAAAAAGTCAGACACCAAAACCCATTTTGACTAATTTTCACAAAAATCTCACAACTTTAGTGTCCCAACTCAATCACAAGTGCCATAAGCCTACACTGATCATCCAACCACACTCAATGGACTCTAGTAGACTAGTGCAACACACCACACACAATCAAAGCACATATATCTTAAAATCACCACTTAACCTCAACTTTTACAAAACACAAAAGGGAGGAAATTGTTGCACAAAATCATCATTTTTATTCTAATTCTTTCAAAATACACATGTTCATACTTGCATAAGTATTTTGGCCCTATCTATGGGTTTACAACCAGAACTCACTAATCCAGGACATAAAATACACAAATTGTATACTATGGTAATGCAAGTAGTACAAAATAACATGTGATCCTAGTTGGCAATTACACAACATTAATGCATAAGTGAAGTAAAGAGGCATGAAAGTAGGATTTCACCACAATCCTACATCTTAGAGTGCTTTTCCCCAAGTCTAATTCGATGAGCTATGTCCTGAAATATTGATAATTGAGAGGTGAGTACAACTACTCAATAACCAAGTTTTACCTAATCTATACAGTTGCATATCAATTATAAACAGATGTAATTAGGCAAAACAAGCACAACATATAACATATGAGGAATTTGACCAAGGTTCACAAAACTAACAACCATGTGATCAAGCTTGAAAACACATATATCCATTTTTAAATCACAATGCACAATACAAGGTCACAATTTTACCAACCATGCACCTTTAACACATGTCGGACCATAATACTAACAACCATGTAGCTAGATTTGTATGCATAATCATATGCCAACCTTATATCCTCCTGTTACTTTTAACATGAAACCGGTGGCTATTACGTGGCTACATCCTTCATGAATTAACCCAGTCGTCCACTTGTGAGGAGCTACTGGATCAGTGTTAATTCACTCACTCATGTAATCCAGTTTCCTCTAATACTAATAACCATGAGGTGTCGTACCCATAATTTAGCCTCATCATGAACCGTTGGAGACTAGTTAGGTTCAAGTTTCTCATAGAA